GTTAGATAGACAGACAGACAGACAGACAGATAGATAGATAGATAGATATCAAGATAGTCAGATAGATAGACAGATAGATAGATAGATAGAGAGATAGAGAGATAGATAGATAGAGAGAGAGAGAGAGACAGATAGGTTAGATAGACAGACAGACAGACAGATAGATAGATAGATATCAAGATAGTCAGATAGATAGACAGATAGGTCGATAGATAGATGGAAAGATAGAGAGAGATAGATACCTCATCCATCGATCTTACCTTTTATTTCTGCCCCTGATTTCTCGGTTCGTACCTTGATTCTCTGCTCGTACCCTTATTTTTGAAGCCCTCTCTCATTTTACATGGCGACTAGGTTGTGATGTGGATTCCAACGCCACGCGCTCAAATGGGGCTTGGATTGGTCAAGTGCGAATTGTTTCGGGGGACCCCATCACTCCGATGGGTACAAGTCGGTCCCTTGAACCCACTCTTAGAGATTGTCATGAAATCGGCAATGAAGTGCGAAACGCGCGCAAATTCAATTTCGGGTACTAACCGGCACCTGGTATTCACTTGCACCAACTCCTGGTGCCATTTTTTGGATCAAGGACCAGTAGGATACCCTAAAGTTGCCAAACAACGCTGTATGGTAGCTCAGCGCGCAATCTCGTCCTCTTTTTCCACAAAAGAACCTTTTTCAAAGCGTTCTGGAAATCTGGGTTCGTACTGGGTTTTTCGTACCTGAAATCTCGGTAGCAATGGAAGGACCTGGTACAGTAGCCAGATAGATAGTAAGACAGACAGACAGACAGGCAGACAGACAGACAGACCGACAGACAGACAGACAGACAAACAGGAAAGAAAGAAAAATAATTAGAGAGATCGATAGATCGATAGATAGATCGATAGATAGATAGATAGACAGATAGATAGACGGACAGATAGATAGATAGATAGATAGAGGGATAGAGAGTTAGATAGACAGAGAGAGAGAGAGAGCGTGAGAGAGAGATGGATAGGTAGATAGATAGATACTTAGATAGTCAGATAGTCAGATAGCTAGGTAGATAGATAGATAGCGAGATAAATAGTTAGATATCACGATAGTCAGATAGATAGATAGATAGAAAGATAGATAGGTAGATAGACAGACAGACAGACAGAGAGATAGATATATAATTAGAAAGATAGATAGGTAGGTAGGTAGGTAGGTAGAAAGAAATAAAGATAGATAGATAGATAGATAGGTAGATAGATAGTTAGACAGACAGGTAGATAGATAGATGGATGGATAGATAGATAGATGGATGGATAGATAGATGGATAGATAGATAGATGGATAGATAGATAGATACATAGATAGATAGATAGGCAGGCAGATAGATAGATGGATAGACTGACAGATAGTTCGATAGATAGATAGATTGATAGATAGACAGATAGATAGATAGATAGAAAGCAAGATAGATAGAAAGCAAGATAAATAGATAGATAGGTAGATCGATAGAAAGCAAGATCGATCGATAGATAGATTAGATAGATAGATCGATAGAGTAGATAGATAGGTAGACAGATAGGTAGATAGATTAGATTAGATTAGATTAGATGAGATTAGATTAGGTTAGATTAGATTAGATTAAATAAGATAGATAGATAGATTCACAGGGAAACACAAGGAAAAGGAAACAAAGAGAAAGAGAGAGAGAGAGAGAGGCAGAGAGAGATTCAGAGCCTCAAACCACCTTTCGGTTCATCGTGAGTTCGCTCTGCCATGTTTGCATCACAACAAGTCACCTCGCCTATAGGTTCCTATCTGTGAAACTTCCGCCACCGCCTTGTGCGGTCCTACTGGTACAGACAAATTTGAGAAAGAGATAAAACTTGATAACAATAGGCTTGAGAAAGAGAGAGAGGTACTTCTTACAGAGATAATTTCGATAGGGACAAGTTTATGGTGTAAACAGAGTAAGGAGGGGGTGGAGGAGAAGCAAGAGAAAGAGCGGGGCAGGATACCGAAACAAACAAAAGAACCCGAAAGAAAAAGACGGCGAACAAATTGCTTTCCAGTGCTTGCCATGTGTGCTCTGGGTCGTGCCTCGCGGTGATGGCAAGCTGTCGTGGTAGTCTTGGTAGTCGGGTCGACGACGCACGGTGGGAAGTCTCCTGGTCAAAGCTGCGAGATGTCTACAGCATTGTCATGACATTGTCCAGCTGCCAGTGCCTTGTCCAGATCGTTGCAGCATGGTCAGGGTTTCTCAGCATAGTTCAGGGATGTGGCATGTTGTGACTCTTGTCCGACCTGTGCCCTGTGTAGCAAGATTCATTACATTAGCAGGTGCTACTCTGTAATGAAGAGCGTGGCGTGACAACCCATTCGCCGAGTAGCAGCACCCATCTAGCAGGCAACCTCTTGCAAAGGTGTCGTGCGCTTTTGGGATTCCAAGCGCGTCATCACTGCGTCAATTTGAGTAACCCAACCGATGCTTCACGCCACAAGCTTCCTCTGGGAACGAATTCTGTTCAAAACTGTCCAACAGGTATGTTGCAGCATACATCCCCATGCTACTAGCTTTCGTATACCCTAACAGCCCCCAGCGTTCCGTAGGAAAACACAGTCCTGTGAAGCGTGGAGCAGCGCGTATGGCATCTTCAAAGAATAGTTGCACGGAGCCGGGCTGTGTGGTACAGAGAAGTGCTGCGTTATTTGCAGCAGTGATGTGTGAAGAAATGGTATGTTGTCGTGTGGGGCAAGTCTGCGTGGCACGGAGTGATCGTGGTTTGTAGGAAAGTGTGGTACTTGGGAAGGATAGAGTAGCACTGTGCTGTGTAGAGTTGCGCTTTGAGAAACACAGGGTGTAGACTTGAATAACAGAAAGCTGCGTTGAGCAAGTATTATGCATAATTAAATATTGTGTTGCAGTTTTTTCCCCTTAGCGCAGGTCATTGAACGGCTTAGCGCAGGGCATTGAACGGCTTTGTTTACACGCTTCAAATCAGACGTTGGAATTTGAGTTCTGCTTGTCAGGCTCACTCAGCGCCCCCCATGCGAGAGCTTTGGCGCACAGAAAAGAAACACACAGGCTTCACGCTTGTCTTATGACAAATGGCGTATATGCATAGAGCAGCAGACAAACTTACCAGTAGTACCGCACAAGGCGGTGGCGGAAGTTTCAGAATAGGAAACCTATAAGGAGAGCTTGCTGTGAATCACGGATGGCAGAGCGAACCCACTGATGGACTGAAAGGTGGTTGGAGCTGTGCTTTTCGGAGTGGTTCAATGGTTGAAGTGGTCACCTGGAACTGCTGGATGTAGCGAGGTGTAGTGCAGCTTTAGTGGTAGTTGTAGTGTAACGGAGTTGTAGTTGTGGTGTAGTGCAATTAGTGTAATGTGGTTGCAGTTGCATTTGTGGTGGTGTAACGAGTGTAGTGTAATGTAATGTAGGGTAGTGTAGTGTAGTCTAGTGTACTGTAGTGTGGTGTAATGTAGTGTAGCGTAGTGTAGTGTAACGTAATTAGTGTAGTGTGTAGCGTAATGTAGTGTAATGTAGTGTAATGTAGTGTAGTTGTAGTGTAGTTGTAGTTGTAGTTGTAGTTGTAGTTAGTGTAGTGTAGTACAGTGTAATGTAAAGTAACGTAATGAAATGTAATGTAATTTATGTAGTGTAATGTAATGAGTGGAGTGTAGTGTAATGTAGTGTAGTTGTAGTTGTAATTGTAGTTGTCGCCGTAGTTGTAGTTGTAGTCGTAGTGGTAGTTGTATTGTAGTTGTAGTGTAGTGTAGCGTACTTGAGTGAAGTGTAGTGAAGTGAAGTGTAGGTAGTGTAGTGTAGTGTGATTAGTGTAGTGTAGCGTCGTGTGATGTAGTGTAGTTGTAGTTTATGTAGTGTAGTGGAGCGTAGTATATTGTAGTGTAATACAATCAGTGTAGTGAAGTGTAGTGTAATGTAGTGTCGTTGTAGTTGTAGGCGTGTAGTGTAGTGTAGTGGAGAAACACAGCGCTTTGCGACTCTCCTACCTTTTCGCGCACCTGGATCTTCTTTCTTCTGACTTTCTCTTCTTTGATCTTCTTTCTTCTTCTCTTCTCTTCTCTTCTCTTCTCTGACTCTTCCCATCTCTGCTTTTCATCTGTCCATATTGTCGGAAGTTTGATTTCTAAATTCCTTTGATGAGTGATAGAAATAGTTTATTTTAGATGTGTGTGTACATAGAAGACTATGTAGCACTTTTTTTGGGCAGCACACTTCTTGACCATTTCAACATAGATTAGTTCTATAGTTTTCTCATATGTTGGAATTTTGAAACGGAACATTTGTAGGACAATACAATCGTCCTTGAAGAAGCAGTACATGAACATGATGAAACAACGCACATTCCCTTTTCACGAGTTCAGTTTGTTTGATGTGGTTTGCAACTAGTGAGAGAATGCATACGTCCGAAGCAACAGGCAGGAACCCACGACGGGGTATCAATTGGGCATCTCAGTTTCGATCAGAAGCGGCAACGTGGTGACAGCATAAATTTCTAAATGACGTGCACCAGCTTGTGGTTGAATCAGCCACATTTTGCTCAAGCAGACAAACTGACAGACATCTTGGCAGAATCAGCAGCAAACTTATCAGCGAGCCAGCAATAGTGAATTTTCAAAATTGTTTGAACTATTGACATCATTTTGCCATGGTGCTTGAAAACCGTGGGGCCGAAAGCTTGGCAACTCCACAAAAACATTGAAAAAATTGTCGCTTTGCTAAAGTTTTGACAGAGACCGTCGCCGAGGTCACCTTCGGTGTGCATGACTTTGCATCATCCGCATCCCGGTCACGGCAGGTGCTGTACCTTTGTGTCGTGCCGATGTCGTGCCGATGTCGCGCCGATGTCGTGCCGATGTCGTCGGATGTGTTTCACTTTCTACCTTCACATGACGAAAGCGAAAGAAATGAAGCCCAGTGCCCAGGCGCCAAGGGTCTCAAGGGCCTCAAGGGCCTCGTTTGTCGCAGGACTACCATGTGTTGAAAACAACCTCGGTGGGAGACACTCGAGCGCGACTGTTTGGGACTGGAGCAGATGAAGGACGGAGATTTGGGACGGAGATTGGAGATTTTTGTGATTTGGGATGTTTGAAACAATTTGGCTTGAAAAAGAGTTATAATCAGGTCCGAATAGTCAGGATAGTTCTAGATCGGTCCAGGCAAAACGAAGCATACGCGCAACACCACACTGTTCAGCGAAGCCATTTGCCCGATGTGGTGTTTCTTTGCTGCGAGTCGTTTCCTTCAGTCGTTATATACTTGATGCCGACATAGCCAGATTTGTACCCGCAGTTGACCTAAGACCCTTGTTTGCTACGCGCACTTTGTTCAACAAGAAATCCAAACGTTTGAACATGTTGAACAACGATGGTGGACCTTTGTCCATAGCCCTTTTGCATCATGTTGCTGTTGCATCCTTTTGCATCCTTTTGCCCGTCTTGGAAATTTGTTGTGAGCGTTCTGCAGGCACCTTCAATGCCAGCACCCGAGCAGCAGCTTGGAGTAAATGATCTACACTAAAGAAATACAAAGATGTGACAATGACTACAATGTGACTACACGTTTCTCTTTCGCATCTATGATCATGTATGCATATTCGAATAGGCATGTTGATGTGCAGAGAACGCATCTTTAGGCATATCATATCTTGACAGATTGGGTATACTGCCATAGATAGTACGGACAGGCTGATGAAACTGAAAGATACTAAATGAACATACGACGCGGATTCGAGACAGTTCAATGTGAATTGTAGAGTAAACACTTCGAAGCTCAAACATTTTATCCGCTTGAAAGTACATTGAACATCTTCGAGCCTTTTTTTGTGAATCCCTCATGCTGAGAGGAGATAGTGACTTGGCTTGACTATAGCTATATAGCTGCATCACCGGCCCTTGCCTTTCTACCATTCTCCCTTTTTTCCAGCATTGTGATGTAACGTTCCACCCTGATCTGCGCTGCGTTGCGTTGAATGCTCCGGCCAGAGCATGCTGCCTAGAGGCAGTCTGTCCCTGGAGGCACGCAAATCGCGTCACTACGCGACTGTGACTCTCCCGGAGGTTAACGCTGAGGCTTGACTGCCTAGATCAGTTTCCGACCGGCACAGACACCGAGATTGAAACAGAAGCAAGAATAGGTGTATTACCAGCAAGAACCGACGGCACCAGGTGGGTCGAGCTCCGTGCCGAACACGCCAACCACCAGATGGAGATGCCCAAGCAGGAGATGAAGATACAGCAGCTGGAGACGGCGCTAAAGCAGCGCAGCGGGAAAGGACGGCGCTAGAGCAGCAGCAGCGGGAAAGACAGCAAGCTGCTGGAGCATCACCGGAACGAGCCAACGTCCGAGAACTAAGCGAGAAAGACAACAAGCCGAAGCAAAAGCACAAGTGCCTCGAGAAGTTCCTCCAGAAGCTGCCATGGCTGACCCCATCGAACAGGTGGCTGATCCAGAAGCTTGGTGTATTGGTTTGCACGAGTTTTTCCAGATTTTGAGGGACATGATGCCTTGTGACCCAGACATGGGAATTTTTCAGGTAAAAAGCATGACTGCATCATTGATTGTTTTCTCATTGTGGCTGGCATTTGTAGGGTTTGAGCTTCTGTGTGCCAGAGCTTTTGTTTGTTTTGCGCGTGTTTTTTCGGGCTTCGGACGACCAGACAAGATGTCTAGTTCACCAGATGATGAGAATTCTCTGTTGCTGGAATGCTGTGGGAGCTTCTAGTATATGTGTTGTACTACATCCTCTTCGAGAAGGATGGAGAGGACTACGACCGAAATGGGCGCGATGAGCTGTGGAGAAGGAAGCATCACCTTATCAAAGTCGGTGTGTTGAGCCAGAAAGGTGAGGAAAAGATGCACAAGATTGAGCAGTAGGTAGCAGCACTTCCTCTTCGAAAGGCGGAGAGATGGGAGAATTGAGTACAGAATGGGATGCGATCATGAAGATAGGCCCACAGCCTGAGCCTCTTGACTGGTGGAGCCTCTCAAACAAAGAGTTGCTGGAAGCTGTGTCTCACCTGTTGACATTTTGCCGGTTTTTTCCAAGTTTTAGATAACTAGACAGATTGTCTTCTTCGTAGATGGCTCTGACCGAGTGGACAGCGCGTCTCGGCCGAAGCGAGGTGATGATGCTGAAGGAGACCCGACACTGCGAGATACAACCTGCATTACACTACGCGCTCCCCCACGCGGTTGGGAAGGTGAACATGGGATATCTGATGAATGTGATCGAGCAGAAGGGCTAGGACAAGTTGGAATCCGTCAGCTTTCCATCCCATTCCGCCCTCTACGGTAAAATCCACATGCTGGTGCTGAAAAGCTCCATTTAGGTGGTGCTTTTGTTTGGGGGATGAGCAAATTTCCTTCAACGACAAGAACCAATTCGCCCACATGAAGATGAGCCAAATCTCGCAGATCCGGGTGTATCGGAGCCCCGCGAAGGTGTACGAGTTGGAGTAGACCTTGCATGGGCAGATTCAGATGAGGCTTGAGTTCGGCAATGTTGTGATCTTAGCTACCAACAGCTGCGCTACAAAGTCGGCAGCCTGAGCAATGCACTGGCCTTGCTTGACGAGCTGGAGAGGATGAGCACATTAGAGCTGAAAGATCGCCGGAAGACCCTGTGGAAGAACAGACAGCAGCCGCCTGGCAACATCCGAGGTCTTCGTGCATGCTGAAGTTTTTGACCACTTTGTAGGTTTCTCACCGCTTTGTTGTCACTCAGAAGCAGTGAGACCAGCGGAAGCCGCTGTCAACCAGCCCTTTCTTAATATCTCCCTTCAAATACATGTGACATCAAGCAATTCGGTCCCACAACCTTGTTTCCGTTATTCTGTACACTTTGGGAACGAATGGGGCTGTCAGAAAAGCGGCTTTCTTGCACAGTTTCCTCGATGGAAGCGCTGCATCGCGTGTTGATTGAAGTGAACTCCGGTTTCCGAATCCGTACGTTCTAATTTCCATGTTTTCATCAGCTTTGGGGCTGCTTTGAAACCTATCTCAAAATTATCTCAATCAGATTTTTTGTTGTGGGACCAAGTCACGTCAGTTCACCCATTTCAATCACACCCAAAAAAGTTTGAGAAAGAGTGAGCCGAAAAATACGCACATTGCTTGAAGTAGGCATACTGAGCATACCTCAGGATTCTTTTGCCTTTGGATTCTTTTGCCAACCTTCATGGCGCACGTGAAAAAGGAGAAACTGCAATAGGCAGACAGAGGACTGAAAATGGACTTGGAAATTTGGAACTTTATCTTCTTTATTCTCCTTAATTAATGATTTTTGGATGGTATGGGATTTGATATCGTGACGGCATCACGGCACGCACTTTGTGTCAAGGTGAGCTATGGAACACGTGGCCATGATCCGAAAGGAGAGTGCGCCGGGTGGGCGCCAGGATGCGCAAGGTCATGGGACCGTGGGTGTGACTCGGTGTGACTCGGTGTGACTCGGTGTGACGGCTGTCAAAAATGTCAAAACATGATTGCGCTGAAGTCGCTGAAGTCGCTCTTGCCCAAGGAACAGGGAGGGCTAGGACCGGCTAGGACAATGTTTTTTATCGAATTCCTGAAAAGTTTCTTTGTTTCCCTTCTCCTCTTGGCCCCTTTGGGGTGGAGTGATGTTTGTTGAGGCATGGGATAAATTATCGGTGTCTTCCTTGGTATTTCTTCAAAAATCATATATCATGCCATGTTTACAAGTCATATATAATGTTTTTGTTCAATTTTTTCTCCCTCTATCTCTTTTCTATTTTTCTTCCTGTATACCCAGTCTCTGTGAAAACATTGTTTTTTTTCGTTTTGGTGGCGTTTTTCTACCCGTGTTCTGACCTCTTTTCAACTCATATTACTTTCCTTCCGGAGATTCGCTCCACTTTTCCCCCACAGGACGCTCAGTGCTGGCAGCAGGTGAACCACCACATTGTTCTGATCCAATATGGCCATTCAAACCATTTCACACTTACAACTTTTGGGAATCCAAAGTGCAATTCCCAGCCAGCTTTCGTACTTCCCCCCGGCTTCAAGTTGAGACCATGTGGTTATCAACAGGTGTCTGCGGCGAGAACACTTAAGTCACAGAGTCACAGTTCTCTTTCTCATCCATTTCTTAGTGAGTACACATGATCTCCCTATCAAGCAGGATGCCTTCAGCCTTTTGATTCATTCCCGACATCTTTGTGTGGGGTTCTTGTTTTTGATTCTGTATCCCGCAGCCTCCTCGTCCTCCGCCTCCTCCGGGTCATCCACAATCTTTAATTAACACACAACTTTGTCACCACCATCTTTCACACACCATCTTTCACACACCAACTTTGTCACCACCATCTTTCACACACCATCTTGAACACACAACTTTGCCACACCCCATCTTTCACACACCAACTTTGTCACCCCCATCTTTCACACACCATCTTTAATTAACACACAACTTTGTCACCACCATCTTTCACCCACCATCTTTCACACACACAACTTTGTCACACACCATCTTTCACACACCAACTTTGTCACCACCATCTTTCACACACCATCTTTAACACACAACTTTGCCACACCCCATCTTTCACACACCAACTTTGTCACCACCATCTTTCACACACCATCTGTTTAACACACAACTTTGTCACACACCATCTTTCACACACCAACTTTGCCACCGCCATCTTTCACACACCATCTTTAACACACAACTTTGCCACACACACCATTTTCACACACCAACTTTGTCACCACCATCTTTCACACACCATCTTTTGAACACACAACTTTGTCAACCACCATCTTTCACACACCAACTTTGTCACCACCATCTTTCACACACCATTGTTTAACACACAACTTTGTCACACACCATCTTTTACGACACCTTCTTTGTCACCACCATCTTTCACACACCATCTTTAACACAACTTTGTCACACACCATCTTTCACACACCAACTTTGTCACCCACCATCTTTCACACCACCATCTTTCACAAACCACTTTGTCACACACCATCTTTGTCACACACACCATCTTTCACACACAACCTTGTCACACACATCTTCGTCAACCACCATCTTTCACACACAACTTTGTCATATTTTACACACAAACTTTGTCACACACCATCTTTGTCAACCACTATCTGTCACACACATCTTTGTCAACCACCATCTTTCACACACAACTTTGTCAACCACCATCTTTCACATGCAACTTCCTTCCATCTTTCACACACTTCTTTGTCAACCACCATCTCTCACACACATCTTTGTCACACACCATCTTTCACAGACATCTTTGTCAACCACCATGAGCCACCATGGTGACATCCACCTTCGTCGTTTCACGTGGCAGGCGTGGCACTTGGTGACATCTACTTTTGTTTTGCGTGGCAGGCGTGGCACTTAGGGCACTGGGCTGGCTCTGGTGGCGCGCTTGGACTGCATTGGTCGCCGGTGAGGCCGCGGCACATTGCGTGGCAGGTGTGGCAATTCGTGGCATCCACCTTCGTTTCATGTGGCAAGCATGGCACTTGGTGACATCCACCTTTGTTTCACGTTGGCACTTAGGGCACTGGGCTGGCTCTGGTGGGGCGCTTGGACTGGATTGGTCGCCGGTGATGCCGCGGCACTTTGGATGGCAGGCCTGGCACTTGGTGACATCTACTTTCGTTTTGCTTGGCGGGCGTGGCATTTAGGGCACTGGGCTGGCTCTGGTGGCGCGCTTGGACTGGATTGGTCGCCGGTGACGCCGCGGCACTGCGTGGCAGGCGTGGCAATTGGCGTTATCCACCTTCGCTTCACGTGGCAGGCATGGCACTTGGTGACATCCGCCTTCGTTTTGCGTGGCAGGCGTGGCACTTTGGGCACTGGGCTGGCTCTGGTGGCGCGCTTGGACCGGATTGGTCGCCGGTGACGCTGCGGCACTTTGCGTGGCAGGCGTGGCACTTGGTGACATCCACCTTCGTTTCACGTGGCAGGCGTGGCACTTGGTGACATCCACCTTCTTTTCGCGTGGGCACTTAGGGCACTGGGCTGGCTCTGGTGGCCCGCTTGGACTGGATTGGTCGCCGGTGACGCCGCGGCACTTTGGGTTGGCAGGCGTGGCACTTGGTGACATCCACCTTCGTTTCGCGTGGCAGGCGTGGCACTTGGTGACATCCACCTTTGTTTCACGTTGGCACTTAGGGCACTGGGCTGGCTCTGGTGGCGCGCTTGGACTGGATTGGTCGCCGGTGATGTGGCGCTTGGTGACATCCACCTTCGTTTCGCGTGGCAGGCGTGGCGCTTAGGGCACTGGGCTGGCTCTGGTGGTGCGCTTGGACCGGATTGGTCGCCGGTGACGCCGCGGCACTTTGAGTGGCAGGCGTGGCAGGCGTGGCACTTGGTGACATCGTTTTGCGGGGCAGGCGTGGCACTTAGAGGACTGGGCTGGCTCTGGTGGCGCGCTTGGACTGGATTGGTCGCCGGTGACGCCGCGGCACTTTGCGTGGCAGGCGTGGCGCTTGGTGACATCCGCCTTCGTTTTGCGTGGCAGGCGTGGCAGTTGGCGGCATCCACCTTCGTTTTGTCACACACCATCTTTGTCGCACACAACTTTGTCACACACCATCTTTCACACACCATCTTTGACACACCATCTTTGACACCATCTTTCACACCACTTTGTCACACACCATCTTTGACACACCACTTTGTCACACACCACTTTGTCACACACCATCTTTCACACACCATCTTTCACACACCACATTGTCACACACCATCTTTCACACACCGTCACAGACCATCTTTCACACACACCATCTTTCACACAACACTTTGCCTCACACCATCTTTTACGACACCATCCTTCACACACCACTTTGTCACACACTATCTTTCACCACACCATCTTTCACACACAACTTTGTCGCACACCATCTTTCACACACAACTTTGTCACACACCATCTTTCACCACACCATCTTTCACACACAACTTTGTCACACAACTTTGTCAGACGCTCTCTTTCACACACAATTTTCACACACACACACACACACCCTATGTTCACACACAACTTTGTCACACACAACTTTGTTTTACTTCTCGATCCTTCACCACCTCCTTTGTCTTTCCTCCCTTCCCCGTCCCCGCCACAACATTTGATGCTTATTATTGGAAGAAGTTGTCTTGTGGGGTTATCCGGTCCTTTAATTTTGTTCTTGTGTTTTGATGTTGCCATATGTTGCCTATATTTGATTCATACTGTGTTGCTGGCAAGTGCCGTTTAAATTAAACTGTCGTTCCCACCAAACCGCTTCTCAGGTACGTCTTGCCTCAGCGTGGCACGTTGGAGATGTTGACTGCAGAGGTGCCGCAAAGGATGAGGGACGCAGCGACCTTCGACACATCTGGACATGTCGTTTTAGAGTTCCATTGCGTGACATTGGTTGAGATAGATGCAAAACATGATGTATATGATATTATTTCAGATATATAATGATATTTATATAGAATACTTACATACTATATAGATACAGCTATGATATACATATTATGTATATTATGTATATATTTTACACGTTTCTCAATATGTGTTGTGCTTCACACTGATTGCTCCAGGCGACATGGCCCAGCAGTGTCACTGGTGGCTTCGTCATTCCATTCCAAGGTCAACCGAGGCCCGGCGGAGAAGTTTGTGTTCCACGGTCTGTTGATGACGTGTTGTTGGGAAATTGTGAAAAAAGTCGATGCGGATTGCATCTCAAGGCCAAGGAAAATCAAGGAAAACCAAGGAAAAAATCAAGGAAAATCAAGGAAAATTAAGGAACGTTGGGAAGTTCATGGAAGTTCCTCAAGCGTCGCAATTCCAAACGATGTTCAAAATGTTGGGGAAAACGAGAGCAGCAGAGCACTCCGATCACCAGATCGGTCCATGGTCCAACCACCGGGCCCCCGGAGCACTCGATGCCAAGGTCCCAGAGTTTGTATCCGACCGAGCGGACGCGACGAGTGGGTGCTTTGGGTCATACCCTCGAGACGATTCGAGACGCACAAGCAGAAAAATCAAATTCAGAAGACTTTGAGAAATTTTCAGAAAATGCGGAACATTCTGACAACTTGGCCCACAAGGATTCAACATCATTCGTGTCTTTGTTTTATCATTCGAATCCAGTTTCCAAGGCCGGAATATCGTCGGGAATTGCACAATCAAGGATGAGGGCTTCTACTACCACGGTGGGGAAAGATTCCGTGAGGATCTTTTCATGTTTTTTCGCATGCTTGGTTGTCTCGAAGCTTCGCAAGGTGTATCATGTTTGTCGTACCATGTCGTACCATGTCGTACCTTACACGACCTTACACAAGTGTCTCAGATTTGCGGAAGGTTCAGAAGTTGGGGTTGACAACTGAAAGTATGTTTGTTTTTGACATGGAGATCAGTCGCACCACTTGAGTCACTCGAGTCACTCGACTTAGCTGCTGTCTTGATTGTGCAGTTTCTTTTCTTGGACGAGTTGGTCCCTCCTGTCATGCAGACCTAGACTATGGTCATTCGATCTATCCATTTCACTTTGTCGACCCTTTTTGTTGTTTCTGATTTCTTGGAAACATAGACATAGAGCATGCTCAGCAGAGTCTTGCCTCTATATGAGTCGTACATGTATAGCGTGTCGACATGTGTAGACCAAGTTTTCTATGTTGACCTAGTCCTGGCCAAATGGATCTGTGAGGCCCCCACAGCCACCACTATGGCAACAACAGTGCGGCGCCACGGGACAATGTGCAGGACAAGTTGGGAGTGGGACTATTTAACAGTGGTGCCACTTCCGCATTGAACGAATATGACATATGTTGTGGGCAGGCGCGAGAGAAACAACTTTGACAAAAACACAATTCCAAGACCTCTAAGGCCTTAAACACTTAAGGGTCTTGGAATGTCTTGGAGATCCACAACAAACAAAAGAATGATATATATATATATATGTATGAATGTAGACTGACCAGGTAAAGCATCCGGTAAAGCCTTAAAGCATGCCCGTCTCTTCTTTTTCACAGAGATCCAAACAGATCCCATGATCCCAAGCTGTTTCGAATCCCAGCTGGATGTGGATTGTGTGGGGCCGGCTCTGGCTCTGGCTCTGGCTCAGGTGGCTGCCGTTCAACCCTGCAGTGCCGTCTTCAGTGATGACCTGGATCACATTGGATCACTAATCATCTTTGATCATGTCATATCATGTCAAAGCAGACGGTGACAAACGCTATCGCCAGAGAACCGAAGAGAGAATGAAACAATCACCGAAAAAAACTGGAGAGAAAGACAAGTTCTTAGCAGTTCTTGACTAGATAGGACAAATAGGACAAATAGGCAGAGATGGCAATGACAATTCAGAACTTTCAAGTGCAGAGTGCGAGAGGGTGCCTTGGTGTGCCAATGTCGACATTAGAGCTGAGACATTCTGAGAGTCTGAGACATTCCCGAGATTTTGAAACAAAATTTTCTGAGATTCGGATATTCTGAGATATTCCGAAAATTTCTTGAGTCATTCTCCGAGAATTGCCCGGACTCGGAAAGGACTCGTTGGTCCGGTTCCGGCCACGTTCGCCGAGGTATCGGCCGGAGAGGTGAAACCTCCGAAGGCCCGGTGCAGGTGAAACATGGTGAAACATGGTGAAACTCATGCAGCACAGCGAGGAAGTCAAAGCGTCAACGACCTCAACGACAACGTCACACGAATTTCGTAAAACAAAAAAAACGTACGACCCCAAAAAACATAAATAGGTCAGAAAACATATAAACCCTAAAGATGTCGTGGCCCTTCTTATATTAAGTGCAACAACATATAGCTCGAACGGTCAGCAGTCAACGGTGCACGGCAAGCAAGCAGTGCAGCCGCCGACAAGTCCTGTTCTAGGTCCACGGCCTAGCCAAGTCGCAGTTCTTCTTGATGCTGCGATGGCGGGTAAAACATGCTATGCGCTCCCTGGCCTGCTGTACTAGAGCCTAGGAATGCAGGCACGCAGCCCCTTGAATTGTTTATGTACCCCCAGCTCCGGTGCTGAGGCTTTCGGGGTCTGCACAAAAACACCAGGGAAAAGCGCTTCCAACTGCTGCAATGCAATCTGTATCGGTCGCAGCAGAGTGACCAAAGTAGGTCTATGAAAAAGATCAACCAATCGTTTCATAGTCCAGGCAACAGTGCCGTCAAGCTGAAAAGGAAACAAAAAAGAGTCATCATCAATCAAAATAAAAACAAGCTCCAGCTCACTAAAAACGAATGGTTGCTGTCCTATCTGTTCTGCAGCACAGATCCACTGCAGCAAAGACTCAACGAAAATACCCGGTAACTTTGCAGGTGTCTGTCTACATTTCACTTGCCACGTCAAAGGGAGGAGATCAGCTAAAAGCTCTGGTGCCCGCTGGCCGCCCTCATCTGATTCAATCTCAATGACTTCTGAATCCAAAGTCTCCTGCATGTTGGATACTGATGAAGTCATGGCTGCCACCTTGAAGTAAAACTGCCTAAGCTGTTGGATGCGTTCGCACCACCAATCCAGAGTACGCACAAGATCTTCATGTTGTTGAAGAAAAGCTGCGGGTCTCTGAAAGTTCCATTGGGAAACCAAATCATCTACAACACCATTCCAGTGAATTGCCCAAGATTCAAATGGATCATCAGCAAGAGTTTGCTCAATGTGAGATGGAACCCATCTGAAGCAAGTCACCAGACCATCACGCAGCAACAAGGCATCCCATAGTTCCAGCCATAGGTCTTGGTTCTCAACCGAAATCGGTACATAGCGGTGTTCTTGGATATACTCAGCAGTGGTAACCGTTGAGAGTGAATCACTCCAAACATAGATGTCTGCTTCTTGACTCCATTGTACAGCAGCAATCACCGCAACCAATTCAGCTCTATCAATGGACTGCGTTTGTCCATGCAAATGCCCAAGCGCCACCACATCACCATTCGTGGAGCAGACCACGCCCCAAGCAGCCATGCGCAAGCAAGGATGTTTTGGCATGGTACATGTTCCATCCGTAAAAAGGTGTTGAGTTTGAACTTTTGGGGGGTAAACATGAAAAACCTTAGAACAGTCCTGGAGCTGATGCAAAGTGTGCCGCCAGTCAACCATCTTCTGCACACGGGGAATGAGCAAATGATACAAAGCACACGCTGGTAGTTCAACATTGTCAGCATGCCAATCCTCGATGTCCGCACGCAAGTGTCGAAAACGGGGACAAAGGAGCCAAGGCGCTCGATCATTTTCACATTCACATATCGTACAAAAAGGAATTTTCTCAGCATCATATTTCGAGTGCTCACTGGTACTGACAAAAGCTCCAGACTGAAGGGCTGAGAGAAGCGAGCGCTCCAGTGGCATCAACTTGTTGACCTGATAGGTGGTCAGGTAGCGATCCATGCCATGTAGATCTTCCATAGTCTTGTGTTTGGTATGCCATGCCACATGTTGGCACCACGCATCTTCAAGCAACCCATGCAGAGTCTTGTCATCCAAACTGAGGAGATTCCAAGCATGTTGTTCATGGTCCATGACAAAAGGTGGAGTAGTAACCCGCCAGCCAATCTGATTCAAGCACAAGGTGATCTTGGTGAAGGGCCCTGGCCATGTCTTGCCATGGTACTGTTCCTGCCAGGCTTTCCACATCTGCAAGAGGTCTGTGGACTTCCGCATGAGTCTTCTAAGTGTAGCCACACAATGGCTGAGCTGATAGAAACCAGGGTCATTCTTCATCTCGCCAGACAAGCTGAGTCTCAATGTAGGATTAGATCCTGCACCAGAAATCTTCAGTGCCTTTGTGGCCGCACGTCGCAATGACAAAAGATATTGGTCTGAGAAAACGCAAGCTGGAGACCCATGAAGAGCCCGTGGCCAGAAGACCTTTGGCAACATGTTGAGTTTTTGGAGAAACGGTGCCATTGATCTTCGTAGCTTGTTCCACTTGTCTTCCATGCCGGTGCCTTTGGCTTTCATGATTCGGTTTCGAATCTTGGCTCCGAACGTCATGGATGCTCCTAGTTCGCTCGCATCTTGTAGGCAAGGAAAGCCAAGTTGCGAAATTCCTTTCCTCAATGGGGCTGTCAGTCCCAAACGTAAGTCTGCTCCTCATCCATGGATAGCCCACACAGCGCTGAGAAGGTAACCATGGCAAAGTGCCCCTGAGCTACCAGTGCCACATTTCTGGCTGTGAGCGTCATGTTATCCACGAAACTGTAAGCTCTTGCATGGGGTGCGAAGATCTTCATATACAGATGATATCCCCAATTGACTGTGAGCATCGCAACAATCGACATGGGATCACCTTCAGGAAATCCGGAGTCAGATGCAATGGGCGGTCCAATGCAGCCCCTGATGTGTCAAAGCCCGAATGAAGCTATTGAGAAACTTGTCCCAAGCATTGAGCAGTGGTGATGGATAGCCAAAATGACGACCCATATGAAAAACTTGTTTTCTTCCAATATGATTGAAAGCTCGCTTGATGTCTGAGCTCAGGCCGCACATCGGCTCATCGCAGGCAAGCATAAGTTCAATTTGCCCCTGCAAAGGGAGCCAAATTTCTGCTGCCTCCCGATGCGGCAGGAACCCCAAAGCTTCTGCAGGCATCCATAGACAAAGTTGTTGGATCATGTGTCTGGTCCTAAGCTTCGACCAGCATCTGAACAACATGGAGAACAATGTAATGGGCCGATAATGGCTTTCCTCATGTGCATCCTGTCGTTTGGCCAGCCCAATGATCATGCCAAATAGCAATTGTTGGGGCCAGGCAGTGTCAGCACATTCAATGGAGTGAAGCATGTTGAGGAACTCCTGAACATAGCTCTCTGGCATGTGAAGGAGGTCAAGTTTGGCAAATCCATCAGGGCCTCTTGCGGCCTTTGGTTTGAACTTGCGCACTGCCCTCCGCCAAGAAGTGACATCAATGGTTGGCAGTTGGAACTGATGTCGTGGCAAATATGCCTGAGTGAATTGGACAATCCGCATCCAATCTGATTCAGGCAACTGTGAAAGTACATTCCATCTGGGTTTCCAATGTTGAGTAAAAAGGTTCAACACTTCGTTGGTCTCAGAAATGAAAATTCTCTGTACAAACTCATCGCCAGTCTCAAAACCAACTGTGGAGCTAACTGTGCAAACAGCACCATCAATAGTTGAGACAGGTACTTGCGCTCCTTCATGAAACCAAAGCGCATCAAAATGCTGTACAATTTCACGATCCAGCATGACTTCATGACTATCTTCATCATAGGCCAAAACTTGGTATGTTTCCTCCTTCCAGACATGATCAATGCTTGATTTGGGTGTGTCACGCAAGTCCATGTAGATAGAAGCCAGCAAACCCTCATACTTAGACTTCAAACTTGCTTGACGTTGAGAAAGGTGCCATGATTCAAATGCCCGGAAGTGTTGATGAAAATCCAAGTAAATGGCGTGAACAACATCCGCATCAGCTGGTAGCACATCAGGAAATTGCATAGGCGCCCCTTCACAGGGCGATTCACGTTGATTCCACCATTGGGCAAAGTTGGGATAGAAGCCATGTGCATGGATGATGGCAGTCCACAGTGAGGCTCTGTAGCCAACAGCAGAGCTAGTGAGCTTGTTGTCACGCACTGCATGAAGGAGACTCTGGAGTCTTCTGAGTTGCTTGGACCAATTTCGGACTGCCTGTCCCACCAAAGAACTCTGCAAACAAACTTCTCCTGCACGACTTGGTTTGCAAACAGGAGCAGAAAGCTCACGCTTGTCTGGTTTGAGTCTTTGTGCTCGGCCTTTGCAGTGTGGGTGTAGTCGAGGTTGTTGTTGGGCTTGTAGCTCGCTATCCACCTCATTCTCATAGGCTGCAGCCCATTGCCGCATGAACTCTGTCGCATCCTGGGCTTGGTCAAACTTGACAGGGCATGCAGGCTGCCAGTCTTGAGTGTTGAGTTGATGCCATGGTAGTTCAGAAGGTCTAGGCCATGTGGTAACCTGTGTGGTCCTGTTAGGCATCAACAACTGAACTGTCACCGTCATGTGGTCGGCAAAGTGTTCTTGAAGATAAAGTCCACGCATCAGTTGAGCTGCTTCAGGAGAGAGCCATATCTGATCACGCTCATTGACCTGCTTACATGTTGGTGTCCATTCATGTTGAAGTGTACGCACAGCAAGTGTTTGGGCGTTACACCATCCATGTCTCTCCCAAATTTTGTTGTTGGACCAATTCCCCAGGTTCAAAATTGAAGTCGCCTACCAGCAATCTCACTCCGCTCATGCCGAGCACAAACTCTTTGGTGAAAGTTTCAAGCAGCTGGTCACTTAGCTGCCTGGCTGCAGGCCATGTTGGGCCTTGTGCGTATCCATAGAATCCCCCAACTGTGACAGGAAGATCATGAATCCAATCTCGTGTCAGCAGCATTCGTCCCGTGGACCAATGTTCATGCGTCCATGGTAGCTGCAACGTCGTTGATGGCCAGTCAGGTGTTGTGCAAACTCCTGACCACTTCCCTGCCCATGTAGATCCTTGCCGTAGAGGGGCAGGATGACTGAAATGAGGCCGAACAAGTCTGTCCAGCTTGCGTCCACCCGCTCGAAAGCCCGAGCTGTGCTCTTCGTGGTGACGCTAGAAAGTTGTGTCTCTGTCATAGTCCAAATTCCTGCACCCATCATGAGAACCATGTCTTCTTTGGAACGAAGGCCACCTGGATTGCTGACACCCAAATTCAGCAACTGGTCACTGTCAGGACCAGGGTGGCTAGCTTCCCCAAAACGTATGCCTGTGTTGAGGCAGCTCTGCATTCCGGGAACTGTGTCTGTCTGCATCCCCGACCCCTGATCTCGGTCCACCGAAGTGGCTGAGCTGTCAATGAAGTGCCGGGCAAGGGATGATCCAGACATAAATGCAGCAGCCGGACAAAGAAATTGAAAAAGCCAAATGAAGAAAAAGATCCATTTGGGTCCATGATTGCGGCTCGGCCTCCAGACTGACCCATGCCTGAAGCCGGTATGCCGTAGTCAATTG